TGAGTTTATTGGAATATAATCCCACCGTAGGTTGAGGAGCACCTGTATACCCTATTGCTTTTGTTTCTCTGAGAAATGTGATTAATACAGACGGCTATTCTGAGCCACATGTATCGTGAATTTGGGAAGTGATATCTGAGCCTGTAGGAAGAAGGAAAATCTTGCAACTAAAAGAGATGTGAGTGACTTAAGGATAAAAGATTTTTAGGGAGAAACTCCTTGGGGAATTCCTTGAAGACCAATGGCCAGATTATTTCTAAGGAAAGATCATTTCCTATGTTAAACTTGAACAGTTTCTAGCCCTGTGTTGTTATTAACATATTTTGTTACCTCCACAAGTTCAAGAAAACAAGAAGACATAACCCAGTAAACAGCATCTGGACTCACCCAAAGCCAGTCCGGCCATCCCCACCAACCAGGTCTCCCTGTGCTCATCAGCAAGTGTTGGCTGCCTTCCCCCAGACCTTGCTACCAAGGGGCAAAAACTGGATTCTGCCAAGGCAGTGATCAGTCACTGGCAAGCAGGTCCTGGTCCTGCCACCTGGTCTGTGAGCCTTCAGGTGTTTAGGTGGCCCAGACATGTGCCGCATATGTCCCCCAGGCAGACAGGACTGTGTTCTGACGGAGGGGAACACCGTGTATCAGGCCACCGTATGCTCTGTTTAGTGGGGAACACGGAGATAGGGTTTAAATCCAGGGCACGCTTCTCAAAGTGTAGGGCCGCTGGGCACTTCAGATTCTCATACTCCGTTCATGGTGAGGGGGAGATGCCTGAACAATCACATATGGTGAACATCACTTATTTCGCCAGTAAACAGTCATTTCTCATATCTTTTATCTAATGAACAATTTGCCCCCTTGCAGAAATATTTATTTGAAACTTACGACAGCTGCCTTGAGTAAGGATTCCTATTAGATGCTAAGGACTGCTAACTGCCAGCCTCTGGGATGCGTGCGACTGCACACAGGGTATAGAAGAAACGTTAGCAGACACACCCCGCACCCCCACACACGCGAACACATGAACACACGTGCGCGCGCACACGCGCACACACGCACACACACACACACCAGTATCTATAGTAAAGTGTTTAGAAGTTAATCACAATGAATGATGAGGAAAATCTGGCCCGGGGTTTGGCAACCACAGGGCCAGGGAAGACAGTCACAGGCAGTCACCTGTGAGTGGCCTGAGGACTTCCTGGGAGCCCACAGATGCAGAGTCCTCTCTCATTCAAGTGACCCAGATCTGTGGTAGCCACTAGCCACTCCTGGCTAATAAGTGAAATGTGGCTAGGGTGACTGAGCATGTATGAACGACTTGCACCTGTGAACCTAATTTTTCAATCGTAAATTTTATGAATTCTAAACACAGATCAAGTATGTCCCAGAAATATGTAACATCCAAATTGTAAGCATACAAATGCATACTCTGTTTCAAAGACTTAGCATGAGAAGAAGAAAATCACTCAGAATTTTGATGCTGATTACATGTGAAAATGATAATATTTTGTAAACATTTGGGTAAATAAAATGGGCTATAAAAATTACAAAAGTAAGTAAAATTACTTTTACTTACTTTTAAAATGCGGCCACTGAAAATATTGAACTTACATATGTGACTGACAGTCTATATCTCTGTTAGACAGCGCTGCCCTTCGTGAAAGTGGCGTTTAGGGAGGAAATATTCTACGTTGGCTGTCTCAGTGTTCACGTCTACTCTCGTGTTAGAAGACAGTAGCCTTGACCAGAGGTGAGAAATCTGACAACTCTATTGCGAGTTTGTAGTAACAGCTTGCCAAAGTCTTTTTGGCTCTGGCCATTGCAGAGTAGCTAGGATTGGACCAATCCTATCCCCCCAAATAGCTATAAAAACTGGACAAAAACCAGAAGGCAAATGCTAGAAAGCACCGGAGAACAACCAACATGGCCAGGCCACGATGTCCTTGGGAGGAGGGAAGCCATAGGGTGAGCCCCGTGTACCCCGGTTTTACTAGAGGACAGTGCCTAAATTGCAGCCCAGGAAATAAAGCAACGCTGAACGTGACCATTTTGCTTGACTGAGGAGACAGAAGGCAGAATTTGAGGCTGCATAAACACCTGGAATTTGAAGGAAAAAATCCCAGAAAGAAAGAAGGAACGGAATAGAAGAGGCCTAAAATTTTGCATTCAAAATTTTTCCTCAAGCCAGTTGGCTGATTCCCAAGATGTGCACGCACGGGGTGCTGCTCCAAAGGAAAAACAAACAACCCACAGCTGGGAGGCCAAAGGCCTGCCCAGGAATTTCCGCAGCCGCGCAGTGCTGGGAAGTCAGAAGTTGGAGTGAAAGCCAGTGAGACTGGGGGTGAACGGCCCCCGGAGCACGGACCGCACAACCTGCGAGTGAGGGCAAATGTGAATTAGGGCCCACCTTCAGGTAGATCCTCACTGTGTCTCCACCCAAGCCTTGGCAGGGTCCTTCTTGACCCACAAAGTGCCCGGCCTGCTGCCCTCACCCCTCTGCAAGCCAAGGACTCTGTCCTGAGGGCGCCTCTCAGCCCTGCGCCAGCGGTCCCGGCCGGCCCGGTCCCGCCTGGCCCTGCAGAGCCGCCTGTCCCTCCCAGCGCCCCGTGTGTCACTCGCAGCAGTGGTGACGTCTGCTGAGGCCAGGCTCACCCAGGGCCATTTGTTCATGACGCGTTGGTCAAGTCTTGGTCGCTTATGAAACACACGTGTTTTTCAGTTTCAGAGGCAGCGTGTTCTTTGCTGTAGAGTGAGTTAGGACCACATGTTGACACGAATGAGGGGAGAAATGGCAAATGGGTGAAGTGGGAAACACAGGTTTCCACTTCGAAGCTGTTCATACCCAAATGGGGTGCAGGGAGCCCGGCTTTCAGTCCAGACGTGGCAGGTGGCAGGCGCATCTGGCCACGTGGCCCTTGTCCTCTGAGCGAGCTGGGGCTGTTGGATGGCTCCCCGCCGGGTTAGGAAGCAGGGAGGGGTGTGGGGAGCCGGGTCCTGCCCCAGACATCCTGGTTCACGGGGACGCCAGTCAGCGCTAGAGCTGGGTGGACTGTCACAGGTGCTACACACACGACGATGGCACTAGAGCAGTGAAATCCTTGCTGGGGTGTGAAAGGAGACACCACGGGGACAACGGCCCTCGGTGGGGGCTTCAAAGATGAGCACGATGTAGCCAAGCAGAGGCAGAGGGAATCTGTGAGAAAAGCCTAGGAGTGGGAAGCAAATGGCATGGCTGCGTGTGGGTTTAGGGGGCAGGTGGGAGGTGGGACCAGCGGGGACAGCACTCCGGAAGGAGGGAACCCCAGGGTGCCGGCAACCCACAACTCAGCCAATGCGGACGGGCAGATGGGGGAGGTTGGGGTGGGGGCAAGTGAAAGAAATTATTGCTTTCATTTCCTCTAAATAAATTGAAGGAGTCACATTTCTAGATACAAAAACGTGAGGAGTCTTAAAATTATTCCCGTTACTCGGAACAGAACACTTTCAAAAGGCCATTTTAGTTTCAGAGTCCTAGTGAGGACCCGTCCAGACTTCCACGCTTGGTCCTTTAATACAGGGGTTCCCCAGTGTTTTTGGTGGCACCATGAGGTCACAAAAGAAACCACTGAGCATGCACTCCAAATGTGTGTGCATTTGTTATTCACACATCATATACATATTTACGCACACCATTCTTCTGATATGTTAACATACATGATAAAACATGCCACAAGAAATGGTAAATTTTAAGGAGAGATTAAATGGAGTTTTAAAGCTATCTCCCCTCCTCAGTGGCGCCTCCCGCCCGCCCCTCAGCTGCACCTACCCTGGCGGAAACCACTAACTGAGAACTCGGGTTTTCAGCCCAAATAAGCTACTGCCCCCGGGTTCAGCTCCTTCCCGGGCAGGCTCAGGCTGTGGCAGGACCCCCTGTGCCCCTCCAGCGTCGTGTCCCAGCATTGCTTTGCTCAGCTCTAGAATCACCTAGATTTGAGGAGCCGTCTTAATTCCTCCCTTTTGACTTTTTCTATTCCTTCTACCTCCCCATGTTCCTCTCATGACTTCCGACGTCTGGGCAGAGTAAGGAAGGATTTACAAAGCAGGGAGGGTGCGGGGGAGAGACTCTGGACCTGAAGTCCTGGAAGCTTCGGGCCCAGGGCTCCGGCCAGCTGTGCAACAGCGCACCAGCCACTTGGGGCTTTCAGAGCACGCATGCAATGCTGCCGTTTCCACGGAAGGGTGCCGGGCATGTGCCGAGGTGTGATGCCCGCTGCCTCCAAACCTTCTGTTGAAAGCTGATCCCCAAGGGTGGAGGTGGGGCCTAGTGGGAGGAGTCTGTGACTTGGGGGTGGGTCCCTCATAGACAGACGAACTCCCTCCCCGTGGGGGTGGTGAGTGAGTTCCCACTCTGAGCTCCGCAGATGCGCTTCATGCAGAACATGCAGCGTTAGGTAAGCTCTGTGCGGGCCTGAGTGACAGCGCTGTGGGCCGGGAGTGCAGTGTTAATAAACCGACAACTTGTACTAATTATCTTTAAACAGAAAGACACGGTGGCTCGTCCCGCCTCAGCTCTCCTGGGCGTGTGCTCCCTGTGGAGACCACCGTTTGGGAACCCAGGTTTGCAGCCCAAATGCCTCCGCAGTCTGACCTCAGCGGGTCCGTGCAGGGTTTTCTGGCGAAAGGGCACACAGGCTTCAAAAGATTTCCAGATGGTATGTGAGTCATAGACATTTCAGCGAAATTATAAAGTTCTTTTTATTTAGTAAAGTGAAGGTCATATAACAAAATTAACCTTTTTAAAGTGAAGAATTCGATGGCATTTCATGCATTGGCGGTGCTGTGCAGCCGCCACCTCTATGCCCTTCATCATCCTCACCTCCCAACCCCACGCTGATGCAGTCGTTGCCTCCCATCCCCCACCCCCTGCCCCTGGTAGCCACCTCCTGTCTCTACAGATCTACCTGTTCTGGACATTTCATATGCATGGAGTCATACCATACGTGGCTTTTTGTGTCTGATTTTTTTTTTTTTTTACTCAGCGTCAAGTTTTCCAGGCTCACAGGGTTTTGATAATCACCACCACCACCACGATGAGGAGGAGGAGGCAGCAGCAGGTGCCTACTATGTTCCTGCGCGTGTGGCTCCGGGGTGCGTAGGAGGAGAAGTGCTCACCGGAGGGGCAGGTGGCATTTGCTCTGGGGATCCAGGAAGTGGGGAGGCTCATCGCCTGCGTGGGCTCTGCGAACAGGGAGGCCACCACGGGCTGCAACCTTCCTGTCTCCAGGGGCAGGGGCAGGAGCAGGGGCGGGGGCGGGGGCGGTGACCGGGGCTCTGGCGGCTCCTCGGCAGGGCCCAGCCAGCCCTTGGCAAGGCCCAGCCAGCCCTCGGCAGGGCCCAGCCCGCCCTCGGCAGGGCCCAGCCAGCCCTCGGCACAGCATCCCTGCAGACACGCCTCGCAGTTGTCTCTGTCGTGCGGCCCTTCGAGAGACACTTCCTTGATCATGGGAATCTCCTCCATCGACTTAAATCTTTCTCTGTAGCATTTCTTCAGAATCCGGAGCACCAAGTTGTTCAGGATCCTTGAGATGTTCTCTAGTGTGAACTCAGGAACCTCAAATGGAGGCTGGGAGCACTTCTTACACCTCTGAGCAAACACCCTCATCTTCACCTGGCCCCGGGACTTCTCCTCGCTCCAGTGCATGTGGAAGAGGACCTGGACTTGGGCGGAGGCCCAGCTGCGGGAGCAGGAGGAACACTGGAACCTGCGGAGACAGGACGAGAGCCTCAGCGTGGTGCCATGTGGCCAAGTCACGCACGGGCTGCGGCCGGAGGGGGAAGGAGCAGCCAACAGCACAGAGACTTGGCTGGGCTTGCGGGTTTAGGTGTAGAAAACCTTCCGGAGCCTTCATCCCCATCTCCGCTGAGTCGCAGACACGTCTGTGCCCCACGGTGTCTGCCGAGAGATTGACAAATCATAAGCCGTCGGAGCTGGGAGGGACCTTGGGCGTCTACTAAGTCCCACGTGCTCATTCGAGAGATGAGGCCGCTCTGAAAACTCGCCAAGCCCAGAGACCCAGTGCGGGTAACAGGCAGGACCCCAAAGCAAGGTTGCCTCTAATGTAAATTCAAATGAGTCAAAGGCTACAGCTGCAACAGCAGCCAGATCAGCTTGGAACCCGGGACTGCAGTCCACACATGGACACAAGTGGGTGTTAAGTCACAGACCCTCAGGCCAGGGTCCTAGAGTGAAGCTGGCCTCGCGCTTGGCTGCCCAGGGCCCTGGTCTGCAGTGTCCCGGGACAGCCAGTGTCCAGCTCTCGCTCCCCTCGCTCCCCCTCCATCCCAACTCTTTTGCTCAAGGTCGCCAGGAAAGCTTCATATTCTCAGTGCCACTGGCCTCAGACAGGGTGCAAGAGAATGACACCTTGTCTCGGCAGGCAGGAGGGCAACTTTCTGGGCTAAGATATTTGGACAAAGACACGTTAGGACAGGTAAAGAGAGAAGGCGGCAGGAAGCACATGGCTGCACCCAGGATAGAAATCCTAGGTGAGGCAGGGGGCTGCGTGTGGCAGAGACATTAAATGGTCACCACATTACCCGCCACTGCCTCCCACTCCCCAGCACCCAGGCAGTCGGGTGGGGGCTACGGGGCCAGCTGGCAATGACATGAGGTCGACAGTGATATGTGCTCCTTCCAGATCTGGCCACGGGAGCCCCTGTAAGACGTTCCAGCTCTCTCCTCCTCTGCCCCAGTGACCCCGGGAGCCACGTGGTGGGTTAAATCCCTGGTATTTCCAGGTGCACTTGTTCCTGCAGCTGAGCCAAGCCTCAGGACACCTGAAGTCAGGATGTGACTTGGGGGGCCGGGAAGAATGAGTGGGTCCAGGTGCCCCTCCTGGATCTGTGTTCTGGCCTCAGTGCGCGGGCTGAACGTGCGGATGAGACACGGGGAGACGCCGAGAAGCTTTGCCCACTGTGAGAGACCCTGCTGGGACTCGCCGGCGTCAGAGGGGCCTGGGCTGTGTTCTGAGCCAAAGTCCACCGCCCTCCCTGGGTCCTGGTGCTCCGCTCCTGCGCTGGCTCGGAGCCCAAGTTCTCACCAATACACGGCCGAGACTTTGCTCCGATGCTCCTGATGCCAGCTCCTGGCCTGGGAAAGCCGCAGGCCGTGAGGACGACTCCCCTGCCCGGACTCCAGAAAGGGCCGTGGGCAGCACGGGGTCCCAGGACGCCACCCTGTGTGCCCCGAGGGCAATCCCCACACCGCCTGCCCGGGCCCTGGGGCTCCACTTTTGGGGGGGGAGGGAGGGCGAGACTTTGGATGATCTCCAAGAGTCCTATTTAGAAAAGATTCCATCAGCTCAGGGCAGAGAGGGCAAGATTGCTGCGTGTGGCTCGGCCCCCTGCCTTCTGGCCTCTCCCTGGGCTCTCCTCTGGGTGGTGGGCTCTCCCCCCAGGGGCTCCGTGGTGGACCCGTGAGTCTCCCCAGGTGGGGAGCACATGTGCGGCCCCTGAGTGGAATAGCTGCCCTTCCTTCCCTGGCCCTTCCTCGCTGTCCCCCGCCTCTGCCGCTGCAGTTTCATTCCCGCAGCCTGCTTTCTGTATCCAGGCATTGGCCCGCGCTGGTGTCCAGGCCTGCTGTTGTTTGGGGGTTCATTATAATTTAATGAAGTTAAAACTTCTTGGGGCCAGGCATGGTGGCCTCGCCTGTAATCCTAGCACTCTGGGAGGCCGAGACAGGTGGATTGCTCAAGGTCAGGAGTTCAAAGCCAGCCTGAGCAAGAGCGAGACCCCGTGTCTACTGTAAATAGAAAGAAATTAATTGGCCAACTAAAAATACATAGAAAAAATTAGCCAGGCATGGTGGCACATGCCTATAGTCCCAGCTACTCTGGAGGCTGAGATAGGAGGATCACTTGAGCCCAGGAGTTTGAGGTTGCTGTGAGCTAGGCTGACACCACGGCACTCTAGCCTGAGCAACAGAGTGAGACTCTGTCTCAAAGAAACAAAACAAAACAAACTTCTTGGATGATGGGCATCTTTCTTCCTATAGTTTTCCATTTGCAAGCATTGACTGGAACCAGAAAACTAACCACTATACATAGTAAGAAATCAGCAAGAATTTTCTGGAAGGTGTACCATCGCATTCCCCCTCACCTGGCGAAGACCCACTGCTGGTATTGCATCCACCCTGGCTTTAGGACGTCGGGAAGAAGGCCCTTGTCTGGTGTCAGGGTCCATCTGTGCCATGGCTTCACCTCCTGGATTAGTTCCTGGAACACCTGCTTCCACACCTCGGCGTCCAGAGCCATCTCCGCTGCAGCGGTGTGCCTGAGCGGGTCGAGCTCCCCCGGGCCCTGGCAGGCCTGCAGTGGGAGATGAGGTTGTCCACTTCAGAGAGTGAGGGCTCGGCCCTGCTCTCCCTTTGCGGGCTGGACTGGGCCCACAGACTAGGTCTCGGCCCAAGGACAAAGGTCAGTTGATTCTGGCTCCACGTTCAGAGAACAGTACTAGACTCCACAAGAAATTTCGAAAGATGCAGAACTCATGGTCTCATCAGGCAAAATGTTACCAAAGAAGAGCTCAGGAGTCCGTGTCCGGAGGAGAGAATTTCAGTCTGGCTCTGCCGTCTACCTACCTATAGCTGGAACACGCCTTTTACCTCCGGCGCCCGCACATGGTGGAGAGGGGCTGTGGTTGCTCCTTGCAGCTCCAACATTTGAAAATCCTGCTCCAGTGGGCCGCTGTGCTCATGCTGGGGAGGAGAGACACAGAGAAGGACGTGGCTGTCCCGGTACGTCACCCGCATTCCTGTGTCCCTGCTCCCTGGTCTTTACGTCCTCGCAGACAGCCGCTGTCCAAAGCTGCCCACCCGTTGGAAACCGAAGCTGACGTGGTTGGTATGTGCCCAGGAGACCAGCTGGAAGGGCCCCAGGCAGACCTGGAGCCACTGTCTTCCTCCCTGAGGGGCTTCCCTGTGGCCCCACTTCCTGCAGGAAAGGCTGGAGGAGGAGGAAGGCGGGACAAGCTATGGGGCGAGTGTTGGAGCAGACAGCACCCCAGGAAGGTCACCGGACTCTGGGTGTCCGCATCACAAGGCCAGGGCACTGAGGATCGCGTGGGTCTTCCTTTCAGCCGGGCACTGACCCGTGTCCCTGGCTAGCACCCAAGAGGAAGGCCTCGCCCTCAGCAGGGAGGAGGGAGGAAGGAAGGGAGCCGAGGGGGGAGGAAAAAGGAAGGGAGGCAGGCGGACGAGGAGGGAGCAGCATTTCTGTGACTGTTGGAACAAAGCCACCTCCTTCCTCCTCCCCAGCCCAGCTGCCCTCAGCTACTGCCCTGGGCACAGCTCCTCCTCAGTTGGCCCACGCTGCGGCGGCCTCCCCTCTTCCCGCACCAGTTTTTTCACAACATTACAGTTGTCCCAGGGGGGTTGGTTCCAGGACCCCCTGTGGATACCCAGAGCTGGGGTGCTCGGGTCCCTGAGATAAAATGGTGTGGCGTTTGCACACAACCTCCGCAATCCTCCTGTACACTTCGTGTCATCGCTAGATTCCTTGTGATACCTAATACAATATAGATGCTATATAAATAGTTGTTATTTAAAGATGAGTATTGTTTTTATTGTTGTGTTATTTTTTATTGTTTGCTCTTTAAATATTTCGACTCCCACTTGGTTGAAGCCGTCACTGTGGAACCCTAGGACGTGGGAGGGCCACGTGCACTCATGAATCACCTGCAGGTGGGAAGCCCTCTTAGGTTCTTGCTTTGGACTTTTTCTTTTCCTTCAACCTCTCTCTGTGCTCCTCCCACCTATTCTCAACTTCACGGCAGACTGGGAAAGGATTTACAAAGTGGGGAGGGTGCAGGGAGGAGAATCTGGACCGGAAGTCCTGGAAGCTTTTGGCCCGGGGCGCTGACCAGCTGCGGGCAGTGCCCGGGTCACGCGCGGCGGTTTGAGGCTGAAACGCTGCGGTTCAGGCGGGAGGACGCTAGGCATGCCCGCGCAGAGGGGGCCCGTAGGCCAATGCAGGTCTCTCATCTGGATGAGCTTGACAAAAACAATTCCAGGACCTGTTTGGAACACCCTCAGCTCTCACCGAGACCCACCCACTCTGGAAATGGGTTTCTTAACATAAATACGAGCTTATGTCCCTGCCTCTTGTCCAGCAGGGCAGGGCAGGCTTGTTTCTCCCCTTCTCCCTGGGGCAGGGCTTTGGCACTTTCCTCCCTGTGCCCAGCTCAGCCTCCCAACCCAGAAGGCACTCTCCTTGGAGCAGGGTCAGGGCTCACTGACCCTGACAGCCTGGACACTCACTGTCATGCTTTCTGGACACTGGGCTGGGCCCTGGGCCGCTGCTGGGAGGAGGCCGTTTCTGAAAGCTGGGGCCTTGGTACTCTGCGGCAGGCGGTGGGAACTGTGGAGGGGCATGGGCCTCCTCCCCGTCCCTGCTGACCTGGGAGCCTTAGATCCAATCTCAGTCTGCACAGGAGCAAGACCACGGCATTGTCCAGCTCAGGTCACAGCCCCAGGCCACCACGCGGAACCCCTCCCTCTTCGCTGCAGACACTGTGAGCTGGCAGTGCTGTGCAAAGGGAGCAGAGTGTTAGACGGTTTTGAATGAATGAATTCCTGCACCCTCTTGGAGAGACATCTTGAGCTCCCGCCTCTGTTTCTCCCCTTTAAGTGTTCATGTCCAGATCACCGAGCACCTCTGCTCAGTATCCTCTGTCTGCGGACAAGATGACTAGGAGAGGCGGGACTGGGTCTAGCAGGGAGAGAGCCAAGAGCCTGGGTCTCCAGGGACTCCAAGAGCAGAGCCATCAATGTCCAGAGTGGCTGGGACTGGGCAGCAGCAGTCATTGGTTCAAACATGTTTGTAAGCAGGGGTGTTTATGTCAGGGGCTGTGTTTAAAGTGCCCATGCTCGGGGTGGGGGTTGCGGGGGGGCACACAGCAGAACCCATCTGATCCACATCTGATCTATGGTTGTCTGCCTGTGTGTTTGTTTTTCACATTCATCTAAAGTCTTCCTCCTTGTGTGGACACTCTGGTTTCAGTCGTTTCTCATCCACCATATTGTCTCTCTCCCTGGCCTCTGAGGTTTTTGATGACAGATCTAACAATAATCATGTGGGGAAATTATGATGACGGTTATCTTCCTGGCAGCCCTATAGATGTTAATGATGGAGCTTATTGTGTATCACACACCACAGAACACATTTTGATAGTATCATGATGTCAGCTACATTTTAGCATCACTCTGACATCAATCACGATTTAAAGTAAAAAAATGGTATATTACAAGTAGAGATATTGTGAGGTCTTTAAAAGCCTAAAATTATTACAGATTTTCCAACTGTAAGGAAGGCCTTGCTGAAATAACAGGAAAATATCCAATTCCCTAATTTTCTTATGACAGCTAAAAGCCAATCCTATGAGCTCTCTGCTGGCACGCAACCTGCTGGGACTCTTGTTTTCACAAACATTAGAAAAGAGCCAAAATAAATGAAACATATATCTTTCTCTCCATATTCAACAGCTAAACAGCTTTAGAACTTGTTTCTGTAGCCTGAAGGTGTTCCTGAGCACCTTCCAGACCAGAGGGCAGGTGGTAAACTCCAGGCCTTCATTTCCTGCCCAAAACAATATCTCAGGGGCAAAATCACATGCCCTATGGTAAGCCTGACTACATTTCAGAGATAACCAAGTCTCCAGGAACAGAAGAAACAGGAAAGACAGACAACTCAGTATCTTTCCACTGCCTGCTAATTACAACACAACAATTACTATTTTTCCTTTTGTCCCCATAAAGGCAGAAAGCCACTTGGCCTTGCTGCCAGCATCTCCTTTCTCTTTATTTGGGATACCACTTCATATCCTTGATATCTCTCCCCCTTCCCTCTTTCTTTCGTTTTCTTTGTCCCTCCAAGGTTAAAATAAACATTTTCTAATGTTTATATCTTAATTTCAGCATGAGAAATCTTTCTCCACCTGCACTGTGAGCTCCTAGTATAAATACAAAGGTCCCTGAAGCATTGTATAGGTTTAAATTGCTAATAAAATAAATATAGATCTCCCATCCAAAGTACTAACCATACCTAACCCTGCTCAGCTTCCGAGATAAAACGAGATTGGGCGCAGTCAGTGTGGTATGGCCGTAGACTTTGATATGAATCTCCCTAACCATGTGAACAAAAACCACTTCTTTAAAGAAGAAAATGTTCTTATGATCAAAAAAGGGAAAAACCACTCTGGGTTCTCCTCAGCCCTGATTAGCCCATTTCTTGCTCTGACCTCAGAAAGAGCCATGGTTATGGAATTACTAAAACCTAGGAATCATTAAAATCTAGGCTAAGTCTAGGTTTTAGTAATTCCATAACCAGTTCTTATCACCCAGGAAACTACTGGTGACTTGTAGAGTTTGACCACAGTGAGACATTATACTTAGCATTGTTTGTGTAATTAGCACAGTTAGTATCGTCTGTCAGTAATCTTAGCATCCTATACTTAGTGTTGTGATCATAGTTAGTATTAATGGTATTGTTAGCCTGGCTGATATAGCTAGTATTATTAGTATCCCTAGCCTAGGTAGTGTAGTTGGTATTGTTCATTAGTTACTTAGCATAACTAGTGTAGAGTTAGCACACAGGTGACCAAGCAGCAGGGCTTGGCCTCCAATTTGTCCACTGAGGTGCTTAACAATTATAAGCTCCTGAAGAAAATTGACTGGTGCAGCTTCACCAAGGTGATGCTGGCCCCGTACCTTCCTACTGGGACCCAGGTAGCCATCAAAATCGTGTCCACTCAGAGCCTCCATGGCCTGGAAAGTGTCAATATGGAGGTGACAGCCATGAGGAACCCGAATTATCCAAACATCCTTAAGCTGTTGGATGTCATTGAGAGTGAACTCACCCTCTATTTAATAATAGAATATTCCAGTGGTTGAGACCTTTTCAGGTATATACTGAGACACAGCCACTGGGAGGTCAAAGAGGCTCCGGCCAAATTCCAATAGATCCTGGCCACCATGCAGCAGTGCCACAAGAACCAGATTATCCACAGGGACCTGAAGCCCCACCTCCTACTTGAAGACAATGACATATCACGCTAGCTCACTTTGGCTTTGCCATTACATTTAGTGAAGGGATCAAGTTGGAAAGCATTTGTGGAACTCCCTGTTTTAGTGCCCCAGAAGTTCCTGCATGAGAACTATATGGGACCAGAGGTGGATATGTGGAACCTGGGGGTTGTCCTCTATACCATGACAGCCAAGACTCTTCCATTTGATGGATAGAACTGGAGGGACCTTAAAAGAACATCACACATGCAAGGTGGAGACAACTGTTTTCTTCTAGGAGGAACTGAAAGCATTTCTGAACAGTTTCTAACCCTTGACCCGAGAGAGAGTCCTACCTTCCCTCAAATTATGAGGGGCATTTGGATCAATGAGCAGGAGATGGCAGAGGAGACCAGAAAGGCCACGATGACTGCCAGTCCTCTACCAGCCTGCAGACAAGTCCCAATCCGCGCACAGCCCCCAGCATGGCCCCACTGCCTCCCCTCCACCCACAGCAATAGCAACCATGGAGAACAGCAAGGAGGAGACACCTTTTCCCAGGAAAATCCCGGGAAGTCACCTGTCTCCAGGGGGGACAACCAGATGGAAAGACCTCAATCTCTTACCCTAAGGAGGGCCAGGACTGGAAGGGGCCCGCTAGTTGATTTGCCAAGTTTGTGGTAAGAATCTGCTGTATCCTGCCAGCCCAAAAGATCTGCTGTAGAAAGCTATACAAGGTGGCGCCAGGGAACATGGACAGCTGAAGCAGCAAGAGCAAGTGTGTGGGGTGGCCCGGTCATGCGTCCTGCATCTATTTTATTTGTTATGGTTTTACTGATATTAGTTTTAATAGGAAAGTCATAGTTGTATATATGTATGGGGTAAAATGAGAAGTTTATATACATGTGCAGTATGTGGAATGGTGACATAAAGTTAATTAACATATCCATTACCTCAGAAAGGCAAATGCAGCATGATGTCACTTACGTGTGGAATCTGCAAAGCTGACCTCAAAGACATAGAGTAGCTTGATGGTGATGAGAGGCTGGGGGATGGCAGAGGGAGGGCTTGGGTAGTTGGTGACAGGGCACAGAGTTTCAGACAGACAGGAGGAACAGGCCCTGACATCTGTTGCACAGCAGGGTGGTAAGAGTCAAGGAGAATATACTACACATTTCAAAATACCTGAGAGTCCCCTTCAAATGTCTCCTTGCCTTTAGAGTAGAGAGCAAGAAGACCCAGAGCTCCTGGATCCTGACAACACGGAGTGGGAGGTCGGCCAGGCGTGGACTCACAGCTCCGGGTGGGAGCCGGCAAGAGGCAGCCCGCGGCCTTCAGAGGCATCTGAGCCACAGTAGAGTGAGCTGAAGCAGGGCCTGGAGCCCTGGAGACAAGAGGGCCCCTCTGCCACCACCAGGTCCCCTTTCTTCC